ACTTAAGAATTGAAAAAAACTTAATTTTTTTCGAGGTGGTCTGATATTTTTACTCATAACTTTTTACATCGTGAAGCGATTTTGCTGATTTCAATACCAAACAAATATTTCTGGTGAATTTGGTTGCTTCCATTTTCTTAGTTTTAACGTGAGCGTGTTTTACACAGACAGACGGACGGACGTAGCTAAATCGACACAAAATTTGATAAGGACCAGATCAAAGTATATATATACTTTGATGAATATTCCTTGGTGTTACACACGGAATGACAAACAGGGTATAAAAACTACACAAAATTTTTTAATAATATTTCACATATGAACTAATATATAATATATAAATATTGAGGCCATATATTTATCTTCAACACTCGAAAGCACACTTGACTTTACTAACTTTACTCAATGATGATTACTTACAGACTGATTCATTTATGTTTTGGCCGGCGCTATTTATAACTAAGTATTCTCTTCTAGATATATCCAGAACATCCTTCCGGATACTTCTAGCATAGTTTAACGGTCACTTTCTTGAAAGCTCTACTATTTAAATATTATCTTTCTTATATACTTATAATTATCAGCCTGTGTTTATTTAAAGTGCTTACACTTATGTTGCCATATATGTAGAATGTTTATAATCATAATGAATCTTGAAACTGGTGGTTAAAAGCCGTATAATTCAAATGCAAATAGAATTTCGTAATATGTTTCCACATCAAAAAAATCAAACAAATTTAAAAAAAGAATCAAATTTGCTTTGAAATTTTGTATTTGTCTATTTGATTTTGCTTTTCAAATTTACAAATTTCATTATGAAATAATTCCTCAAAATTCAAAATATTTTTGGGGAGTTATTTCATTATATTACTTTTATCACACGAAATAAAAAAAATATATGTCTGATAGCAGGCCTTCAGGCCCGGCCGCAGGCCGTCTATAAAGGGAATCTTTATTAAGCGATTAAACTGGAATGTATTAAACTTCGAAGCCCCACTCAAAAGTATAAGCGAACTACTTTTTTTAGAAAACCGACTTGTTCCATAATTTGTTATTTTTAAATGAATATTTATTTCATTTTAAAATTAAAAATGGGGTGTTATTTCATGTTAATTTAGGAATTTATTTTATTTCGTTGGGGCATTTTTCATTTAGAAATTGGGGAATTATTTCATAATGAAATTTGAGGACTTATTTCATTTTTGTTTTGGGGAGTTATTTCATGACGCCACTAGCATGCAAACTCTGCTCTAAAATTGAAAAGTGGACCTTCTAGTCTATAATTACATTAAGCTTTCGCCATATCATTTGACGACCATCTGAGCCAAAAATTTTATATTTGTTCTCATCGTTGGTACTTGACCATACAAATTATTGCTCCCTAGTACTCTGCGCACAATTTTGTCAATAATTTTTATTCACAGGACTGTTGTTGTTAATTTTTGGAGCTGATAGATGAAGGTTTCTTCGTTGGAATTCTTTGTTCCATTTGTAATGACAAAATATATTGGCGACGGGAATCTATCAAACATTTCCTATATGTATATAATTGATCGGCCTTGATTATACAGATATAAATTAATTTTTTAATTTGAATTTATCAACTCTTTTTCTTTGAAAATTTTAAGCGCTTACACAGGAAGGATTTACAACATAATTATGAATTATTAAATATTCCATATAATGGGTTAATTAATGAGCAATAGAACACGTGTTCAATGATTCCAAAAAAGTTCTTAGAAAAAATTCGAATATTTTTGCGAAGTACCTGAAATGACCCTTTTTGGGTTTTTTCCATTTTTATACCCTCCACCACCATCAGTGGTGATAGAGGGTATATATAACTTTGTCATTCCGTGTGTAACACCAAGAAATATTCATCTGAGACCCAACAAAGTATATATATTCTGGATCCTTATGAAATTCTGAGTCGATTTAGCTATGTCCGTCTGTCCGTCCGTCCGTCCGTCTGTCTGTGTAAAACACGCTCACGTTAAAACGAAGCAATGTAATTTAACCAAATTCACCCAAAATATTCATTGTTATCCGGTACAGTTTGGTATTGAAAATGAGCAAAATCAATTCACATCGGGAAAAGTTATGAATCAAAATTTAAAACAACCTCGAAAAAAATAAGCATTTTTTACACATTCTAATGTATTTTTCTCCAAAACTATGCAAGATAATTGCATGAAAATCACCATACATTCGTTTCTACACAAGATCTTGATTCGTGCAGAAAATTGCCAGAATCGGTCCACAATTTCATATACCTCCCATACAAAAGTACATATTCCCGGAAAATGGGCTTTTCGTTAATAACTTCCATCACAATGTCGATATCTTCACAAAATTTTACAAATTAAAATCTTATGTCAATAGAATTCTTTCAGAGAAAAACTTTCTGGATCGGTTCATAATTGGACATAGCTCCCATACAAGGTCCCCTCCCGAAAATCACTTAAACGCGCATAACTCATTACTAAATTAAGATATCCATACAAAATTTGGTATAAATATTGCCCATATGCATAGAAATATTACTGTGAAAGTTTTTTCCGATCGGTCCATAATTGGTCATAGCTCCCATACAAGGTCCCATCCCGAAAATCACTTAAACGCGCATAACTCATTACTAAATTAAGATATCCATATAAAATTTGGTATAAATATTGCCTATATGCACAGAAATTTTACTGTGAAAGTTTTTTCCGATCGGTTCAAAATTGGTCATAGCTCCCATACAAGGTCTCCTCCCGAAAATCACTTAAACGAGCATAACTCATTACTAAATTAAGATATCCATAAAAAATTTGGTATAAGTATTGCGCATATCCATAGAAATATTACTGTGAAAGTTTTTTCCGATCGGTCCATAATTGGTCATAGCTCCCATACAAGGCCCCATCCCGAAAATCACTTAAACGCGCATAAATCACTACTTAATTAGGATATCCATATAAAATTTGGTATAAAAATTGCCCACATGCATAGAAATATTACGGTGAAAATTTTTTTGGATCGGTTCAAAATTGGTCATAGCTCCCATACAAGGTCCCCTCCCGAAAATCACTTAAACGCGCATAACTCATTACTAAATTAGGATATCCATACAAAATTTGGTATAAGTATTGCCCATATGCATAGAAATATTACTGTGAAAGTTTTTTCCGATCGGTCCATAATTGGTCATAGCTCCCATACAATGTCCCCTCCCGAAAATCACTTAAACGCGCATAAATCATTACTTAATTAAGATATCCATATAAAATTTGGTATAAAAATTACACATATGCACATAAATATTACTGTGAAAGTTTTTTCCGATCGGTCCATAATTGGTCATAGCTCCCATACAAGGTACCCTCACGAAAATCACTTAAACGCGCATAACTCATTACTACATTAGGATATCCATATAAAATTTGGTACAAGTATTGCACATATGCGCGGAAATATTACTGTGAAATTTTTTTCCGATCGGTCCATAATTGGTCGTAGCTCCCATACAAGGTCCCCTCCCGAAAATCACTTAAACGGTTATAACTCATTACTAACTATAAAGTTTGGCAGAAGTATTGCTCATATACAGAGAAATATTACTGTGAAATTGTTTTCCTATCGGTCTATAATTGATCATAGCTGCTATACAAGGTGCCTTTCAGAAAACACTTAAAAGCACATAACTCATTAGGAAATAGTGATACCCATAAAATATTTGGCATTAATACTATTTTTGTACACATAAATGCTATTTCAAAATTTTTTCACGATTAGTCCAACCTTGGTCATAGCTCCCATACAAGGTTCCCTCCCGAAAATCACTTAAACGCACATAATTCATTACCAAATATTGATATCATACATTTAGCAAAATTATTGCTCTTATATACATAAATTACACTATAAAATTGTTTTACGATCGGTCCATATTTGGTCATAGCTCTGATACTAGGTCCCCTCCAGAAAATCACTTAAATGCACAATATTCATTACCAAATAATGATATAGTTACAGAATTTTGAAATTTTGTTTTTATATATAATTCGTCATAGCTCTCATACAAGGTCCTTTTACGAAAATCTCTTAAACGCACATTACTCATTACCAAATAAAGCTATTGATACAAAATTTGCCACAAATATTAGTTTTGTATACAAAAATTCTATTTCAAGATTTCTCACGATCGGCTCATAACATGGGTGCGGTCGGTCCCATACAAGGTTCCCTTTCGAAAATCACTTAAACACACATTACTTATTACTAAATTACAATATAGATATAAAATTTTACTGAAATATAGCTTTTATGTATAGAAATTTAGCTTAAAGAATTTTTTACGATCGGACTATAATTGGTCATATCTAGGTCCTGCCCCTGAAAGCACTTTAACCGTATTTAACTAGTTGCATTATCAATTTGTGTAGATTATATATATGTATTTTGAAAATCCTTTAATTTTCACACACATGCATACATGCAAATTACTAAATATCGCTAAGCGCTATAAAAATATAAAGAAAATTGCGTTTGTAATGTTCAATAAATCTTGGAATTGTAATAGATTTAAGCAGTTTAAATCTTGGGATTTTTCAATTTAAGACATGAGATAACTTATTTCTACAAATATTTGACCAATTAGAAAAGTCTTAATATAAAAGTAGCTGGTGGAGGGTATTTAAGATTCGGCTCAGCCGAATTTAGCACTCTAACTTGTCTTGGATACCATTAATGAGATTTTATTACTTTTTTCTTGTATTTCGTAAAAATAATAAAAATTAATAAAATTTCATTAAAAAAATTAAATATTATTATTAGTTTTAATGTATCATCATAAAATAACACAGTAATTCATAATATATAATAAATTGGAATATTTATGTGAGACACTGTATATGTATGTACATATGATGTGATTTATCTATTAGGCTCGTAATTTTGAGCAGTACTGTCAAACATATTACAAAATTAAATCTATAAAAATTATTTATTTATTTCAGAGTATACGAATATATTTTTTATTGCTCTATTCACATGTGAGATGATATTGAAAATGTACAGCCTCGGATTTGAAGGTTATTTTGTATCTCTGTTCAACCGTTTTGATTGTTTTGTGGTTATTGGTAGCATTACAGAAATGATATTGACTGGTAGTGAGTTAATGCCTCCATTAGGTGTATCTGTGCTACGTTGCGTACGTTTGCTGCGAGTTTTCAAAGTGACAAAGTAAGTAGTAATAAATAACACATTTGTTATAATTTGTATTCATCCTTTCATAAAATTCATAATGTTCAGATGGTTTACATCCCAGAGGGATGTACAAAAGTAAAAATTTAAATTTGTACATCTCGGAAACTATTACAGATAGAGTTCCTAAATTTAGTACGAGTAGTTTTACAATCACAATATGATTATAAAACAAGAAAGAAGTCTATATTCGCCTTTGCCGAATGTTATATACCCTTCATCATAGTACATATATTTAAAAAATTATAAATTTTTTAAAATTTCATTTTGTTTAATTTTCCCGACTATATCATTACTTTACAAATAGCAAAATAAAATAAACAACAACAACGCTGAACGAAATAAAACACACAAAAAAGCAAAATACACAACGCAATGAAACCAACATACAGTGACTGTCATTAATATTCGGTTTTTGCATTTCCGTTTTTTCTGTTCTTAATTGTTTTTTTTAATTAAAGTATTTAAAAAAATATTTTGTACTTATTGTTATACATATTAAGAGTTTTTTATACATACCAAATTTTTTATATACATCCATTAAATATACATAATAAAAAAAATTTAAAACATGAAATATTACATAAATTTATGCTTCATTAATATTCGTTTTTTTTCTAACATGTTACTTAATTTCTTAAAATATGATTTTAAAAATAAAACTATTATCAGGTAGACTAGCCATTATTTTTTACAACTTCAGACAGACGATATATTAGAGATATTTTTAAATAATCTACCCTGATTTTATCCCATTCTTCTTGCAGTCTTTGTTTGGCCTCATTTTTAAAAGAAATTGGACTTTTACGACTTTTAGGGCCACTGTTTCAATCACTTTTGGACAATTATAAAGCAACCATTCAAGGACAACATGCCTTTGATGTTTAGGGTCGTTAACTTGGTATAATTTAAATGTTCATTCAATTTCCGTATTTTCTGCTGATTGCTTTAAATTATCCCTCAAAATAGATAAATACAAATCTTTGTTCATGTTAATGATAATAGAGCCCCAAACCATTGCATGTCCTCCTCCGTGTTTTACTATGGGAGTAACGTTTTTTCCATTCAGCTCTTCATTTGGTTTCCGCCACACCGTTGTTCTTCCGACACTTGAAATATATTAAATACGCTCTTATCAAAGAAATATAACGTCGTCACACCAAATTAAATCTTTTTTGAGACGTTCATGTTTCTGAAACAGTCTTTCTTAATTACTAGGGTGATCGATTATTCGACATTTTCCAAAAACCGGTTTTCGAATAGTTGACATTTGGAAAAATTCCGGTTGATATTTTTCAAATTCAGAAAAAACCGGTTAACCGGTTTTTCATTATAAATAAAAATATCTATTTTAATTTGAAAAAAATTAATGTTTATGTTTAAATTTGATTAATAAAACATGGCCCGAACAGATTTCTAACAATTTAAAAGATTATAACTTTAGAATCTAATGCTTAGATATAGTCGTCTAATTTACATTATTTCTTTAATGTAAATAAATAAGGAAAAAAGTGGGACACTTCTGTTAAACAAAAGAAACTATGTAAGCTTATTCTAAAATCCTTTCATCCGAATATTAATGACAGTCACTGTACATACCAAACAAAATACACAACGCTATGAACCCAACAGACATAAAAACATACGAAACAAAATACACAACGCTATGAACCCAACAGACATAAAAACATACGAAACAAAATACACAAAAAAGAACAATACACAACGCAATGGATTCAACATACATATGTACATCCAAACATACCAAACAAAATACCCAAATGCACAAAGCAATGAAAATAAAGCCCCCTTCACACGAGCACACAAGTAATATGATCTGTCAAAATTTTGTGTAGAAGAGAACGGATGGGATCGTCCAAACGCAATATGTAATGAAACCATCACACATTGAGAGAAAATACGGATGGAAAATTTGACAGTCGTATGGCTCTCTTCATTTTTTGAAATGATTCAAAAAACAAGCAAGTCGAATTTGATCAGGGATGTATTTTTATGCAACACATACAAAAAATGTGGAACAGGTGTTTCCATCTTACTTTGTTATTGTTTTATACCAATCGTGTAAACACGAAATATATAAATCAAACGACTTTTATTCTCTTTTTTGTCATACGGATGGAATTTCATTTTACAGACATCCAAACATACATATTTTTTTCCAAAAAGCAGTGTTGTTGTTGCTTATTTATCAAAGCATTCAAAATTTTTTTTTATTTTTGCTTATATCTTCGTTATTATGGACGGATTTTACTGATTTTAAATAGGATTTTTAATAGGGAGCAGAATTATTGATGATTTGGATCCCTGAAAACTGATTTCAAAACACACACAGACGGACATCGCTTAATCGACTCCGGTATCTATAAGGATTCAGAATATGTATACACATATACTTTATAGGGTCGGAAAACTATATTTTAGAAATTACAAACGGAATGACAAACTTATGGATGTATATGTTTCTGGGTTGGCAGAATTTTTAAATTTTACAAAACTGCATTAACATTTGCACTTTTTTGATTCCATTTGTACCAAATCATTTCTTTTGGAAAATTTATATCAATATGAAGCACTTTCAAAATTAGCAGATCATTTGTATTAGCCCATTGACTAAACAAGTTCATTTGATAACCAGATTGATCCATCGACTAGACAGACTATAGACTCCCTATGGACTATACAATAGTCTATTAACTAGATAATAGACTACTCTATAGACTAGACAATATACTAGTCTATAGATTAGAATGTTATATATTAGTCGAAAGGCAAAAACATAGAGTTGTCTATAAAATGGATAATAGAATAGTCTATAAACTAGACTCTTAAGACTAGATAATAGGATAACAGGTAAATAACGCAAATGCTACTTCATAGACTAGTCCCTAGACTAATTTATAGACCAGACCAGAAAATTCATTTGACTAGGCCAAAGACTTAAAATTATTTAAAATTTTAGCGATCGGATAAAAATTAATAATGGTTGGAAATTATTACTGCTTGTTTGTTTGTAATCTCTTTCAGGTTTCTAAACAATATGAGTGAATAAAAACAAGAATTATATTTTTCCTCTTCAGAATTTATCGAAGCACTTCCTACCATTGAACTTTGTGTCAGAAGTACAATTTTATTATTATTTCAATAAGGAAATGAATTTCAAATTGTACAAAATGGCTCATTGGTGTACAATTGCATTTTCGAAGATTGAATTGTACCAAAAAAGTACAATTGTATAAATTTTCCCAACCCTGATATGTATGTATATACCATCGCTCGCGATCGCTATTTTATTTATATCGCTCGTTTTAAAATTCAAAATTGCGAGTTTTATTTTTTATCACGCGAGCACAATTTTAATTAGAGTTTTATGTGTTTTGTATTCGCTTCGTAAGCGATATTTACAAGAACATGTTTTTTTCAACTCGCTTACGAGCGTGTGGAAACGAGTTGAATTCGAGTTCAATTCGAGCCGAAAATCAGCAAAATGTGTGTGCAAGAAAATGGTTCTGTTGTGGTAGTAAAAAAAAGCGAATAATATGGGAAATAATTATGTATGTGTGATTGTGTATCCGTAGGTTTTATGATTATATATATAAACAAATAAGAAAGTATAGTCGAGCGTGGCCTACTATATGATACCCTACACCAGTTATATATATAAAATATGATTTATTTTTCATAATAAAGCATTTATCTTCTATTACCTTGTTTCGAGACATTTAAGCAATTTATGGATGAAACATATAAATTTTCTGATAGATTCTTTATATGGGGGAAAGGGGCAAATATGGACCAAGCCCGATAAAAGTTTGTAAATATATTCACAAACTTATATTTGTATAATATTTATTTGTGCTGAATTTCATCGCGATGTTTGTGTTTGTAAGTTGATTTTGTTCAAGTAATTTTCTGAAGGAGGACTTTGTATGGGAGCTAGGGTCAAATGAGGCCCGATTTCTATGAAATTTGGCAAGGTCATCAAGGCTTGTATAAAACTTAGTTGTGCCGCTTTTAATAAATATACAGGTATATTTAGCATAATTATGAACTCAGAAAAGAAATATAAGAATGTATGTATATTTAGTTCTAAAAATTTTACACATTTCCTTAAAAAATATAAAAGCGTGTGTACTTTTTCAAAAGTACAAAGGAAACTCGTTCCAAAACAGTTGAAAACATGTAGTAAAAGAGAAGGCGAAAAAACAACTTCAATATTTATTAAAATACAATTAAATTGAAGTCCTAAAATAATTATACCTTGCAGCCTCCATTAATGGATATATCGATTTTTCCATGTGTATGAATCAGGGTGATCGAATCGGTTTTTCAACCGGTTTTTTCTAAATGTTGATTTTTCGAATATCGAATAACTCGGTTTTTGTATTCAGAATTTACTTAAATTAAATTTTTATACCCTCCACCACCATCAGAGGTGATAGAGGGTATATATAAGTTTGTCATTTCGTGTGTAACACCAAGAAATATTCATCTGAGACCCAAAAAAGTATATATATTCTGGGTCCTTATGAAGTTCTGAGTCGATTAAGCTATGTCCGTCCGTCTGTCTGTCTGTGTAAAACACGCTTACGTTAAAACGAAGCAATGGAAATTAACGAAACCCAGCAAAAATATTAATTATTATCCAGTACAGTTTGGTATTGAAAATGAGCAAAATCGGTTCACATCGGGAAAAGTTATGAATCAAGATTTAAAACAACTCCGAAAAAATAAGCATTTTGTATACATTCTGATGTAATTTTCTCGAAAATTATGCAAGATAATTTCATGAAAGTCATCATACATACGTTTCTACACAATATCTTGATTCCTGCTGAAAATTGCCAGAATAGTAAAGAAACACTTTAGATTCTTGAAAGGCAATCTTGGAAATCCCCCTTACTTCTACAACCAGTTTTGAAGAACATTGTTGTGTTTTTTAAGAATTTTTAATAAGTTCT